TAACTCTGAGAATCAGTCTCATTCAGTAAGGAGTCATCTGATGTAAATAAAACTTGATAAGAAGCACGTCCATTTGTCTGCTTCTCCACTCTTGGGCTTCTTATTGCTTTACCTTGCTGAAGTTTCATACACTAATCTGTGGTGTGAGCTTGCGTCAACTCGCACCGACTACAGTCATTCATTCTTTAGTTGTTATTACTGCCCATACTTCTAAACCACTTCCCATTCCCGAATTCACCAAAGAGTTGAGTACTCCTAGCCCTGTTGAACCGACCCCGCTCCCCGCATAAGAAATGCTACACTGGCTAAGACTCCTTGTCCCTATAGCCCGGGATCCCTCTCTGTTGGTGACACAAGAGCTATTTTGTGAAAGCACCTGCAATTTGTCCCTAGTACTGCCAGAAAGTTCAGGATGCTTCCAGCCACCTTCAGGGTAACTCAGTAAGGTTCTATTTACACAGCTTCCCTTGGGTCCAGCTCCCTCGTGAGGTCTGGATCTTGATGGGCAGGGTGAAATCTCATTTACCTTTATTACCCCAAACAGTATCTGGTACATACTAGGGGCTCCACTGTGATTCGAATGCATTGGCTGATCTTTTTGGACACCCTCCTTGAACTTAGGTTTAAACTTCAAGTGCTGCTTCACATGGTAACTTTTATATTACTCATTGTGTGTAAGCAATAGTTTTAACTTTTTTTTAATTTTTATTTATTTATGATAGTCACACACACACACACAGAGAGGCAGAGACATAGGCAGAGGGAGAAGCAGGCTCCATGCACCGGGAGCCCGACGTGGGATTCGATCCCGGGTCTCCAGGATCGCGCCCTGGGCCAAAGGCAGGCGCCAAACCGCTGTGCTACCCAGGGATCCCAGTTTTAACTTTTCTAAGTGAAAAAGAAAACCTAATTCAGAGATCATTTAGTGAGTCCCGACTCTACAGTATGGCAAAAATTTTATCCTCTTCATCTACTTGTTCTATTCTGGACTTAGCACGCCTTTTCTGTTTCTTTTTTCAAGCCAAAGATTCTCCGTTGGTGTATTTTCATTTTCCAGAAGTAATTCCTTCTTGTGTGCTTTTCTATATTAATAAAAATGAAGACTTAATATGGGTTATATTAACTACATTTAGTCTATTAGTAGGCTGAACTAATGATCCACTCCAGCAGGAAATGGCTTTCCCTCCCCTGAATTCTTGCAATTTGTTGCCTAAGCAATATATTTGGTTCTTTGCACACGCTGCCTGGATTTCTGCACCTGCATAATTTTCTCCAAGGAGATGATCTTTTGAAGGACCTCATGGTCTGGGGCTTTAGCACAAAGTAGGCACTCACAGAATATTGGCTGTGAGAATAAATGAAGGAAGGAGTCAAGTAATAAATTTGACAATAAATTCCCCGACAGGAGATGTTTTAATTTGGGTGAGTCCTTCTGAAGAAGCTAAATGAGGAGTTTTAGTGACAGTGGTGAAAGCACAAAGCAGACTGTAGCCTGGAAGGATCCTGGATTCATTCATAATCAGCAGTTGAGATGTACAGGCGATCTGGTACTTGGTGGAATAGTGTTGACCCTTCCTATGGTTCTTATAAAATAAAGAGACTCCTACCCAGAGAAACTCCGCATCTTTTCATTTCTTACTCTCTTCACCAAACTTCTGGCTGTCTCTGCAAATGCCACTTGAATGGTAACTAGCAGGTCATCAGCTACTTCCCTTAACCAGCATTGTAGATGCCCAGCCTTCAGTAGAAATCCCCTGGCAAAATTTCAGTAGAAATTTTGAACTACAGCCTGCTCTTCCTTTACATTTATTCTAAGGCCATCTTTGTAGGATTAAATGGCAGACCGTGGAAGGCGGATCTAGGGCAGCTGATTTAAGAAGCACGATACTTTAAAACGGTTATGTCAGTGTACGCAGAGGCGTGGGCACACAACATGCAGGGGGTGCGACAAAATGACTTGCGAATGTCTCGCTCCATGACCTGTTTTGACCAAACTTTATTACTCATTTAATGGAGTTATGACAAAGAGTAGGAATCAAAACACATGGGGATCACAGAGGCTGTTATGTTTATTGTGTAGAACAGACAGTGATAATCCACTAAAGAAATATTTTCAACAAGCAAGCGATTCAAAGTACAATCATAGACAGCAACTCTACATGAAGAACAAAGAATAAAGTTAGAAGACACTCGGAGGAACAGGGAGAAAGTCAACTGCAGTTCAACGTCTTGATACTTTTCTCCTGCAAACATACCTAACTTGCAGAATGGTAGAAAAGTTAAATGTCCAGTCTTACTTAGCTGAGACCAACAACAGCAAAGAACAGTCCTATAAAATTTATCTCCCACAAAAATAAACTATATATATAAAAATTTTATGATGTTCTTACTGTTCCATTGGCCACAAGCTTTTTTTTTTTTTTTCAGTATGAAAAATGAGGTATACTGGGGCGTAAGAGGTAGTAGTGTGTTTTGATTGTACAACGTATAGGAAATAAGAGAGTAACTTCATCAGAGATGGAAATCGCTCGGTGCTCCGAGTTTGGCCAACATGAGCAACTTTAGTTTTTATGAGCTGGCCAATGAGGTTTCGAAAAGGCCCAACCGAGGATATGGAATGGGACTTTTATTTTTATGAGCCACTGTTTATTTGCTTATTTAATGCACAGTTAACAGTAAGGTTGAGTTTTAATTCTCTCCGTAGCTCCTTTGGTGATTCGCAACAGTGAGCCATCTGCCAGTCTCAGAGAGGTATGTGGCCTCTGAAATGACCTCCCTGAAGTGGCTGGAAGAGAGATGGTTTTGAGTTTCATTTGGCTTCAGTACTGAAAGCCATACTGACACAAGCCGTCATGAGAAACTACCTCCTGGCCCAGTTGATAATACCATGTTAAAAAGTCAGCACACTCACTAGGAGAGAAAGCAATAAAAACTCTACTACATAAGAAGCGCTTAAAATAAATCTGGTTGAGACATATTACAAAAATCACATTTGTGTAAAATACATGAAAATATCTGTCAAGCATTTTCTCATATTCAACTAATCTTAAAGACACATATTGTTGATTGCATCATGCAAAAGCTGAGCTTGTTGCATCACACCTACAAAGCTTCAAGTTTCTTTGAAGGTTGGCTTTTATTTATTTCTTTGCAGAAAGTATGTAAAAATGTGTTCCTTTCTACCAAACGTCTCTTACAAAAATAGGTGGGACTAGGGATAGGGACAGTTTGAACAGTTTCAAACATTGACAAAAATGAATGCTGCAAGTCACAAGTTCATTCCTTTTGAAGTCTGGAGGTAGGTCTTTGCAAGTCAATTAGTCCATTGCCTTAAACAAGTCATTTGAGGTACACACTTGGAGGGTAAGATTTAAACATTACAGTCAAATTTTGTGTGCTGTGTAGTGTGGACTGAGGAAAATTATCCTTAAGAACCTAGGAGCGACTTGGGTAAAAAAAAAAAAAAATTCAAGTTAACGTAGAAATCTAGCAGAGAAGCTGAAACAAGTATTTGTAAAATTTTAATTAAAAAAAATAGAAAAATACATAGCCATGCTGAAACACAGTAAGGAGACTGCTTCTTTAACTGTAATGAAGTGTACAAAAAGAACCGCAGATGATCAGCATCGCCTACACCCATTACGTTTTTCTTTTTCTTGCATTGCTTGTGTATAGCAGCATGTAATAAGTACTAGACTGTAAATTAATTGTAACATTCAGAGGTAGTATTGAGTAGTGGGGATATATTATTGCATCTCTGGCTAAAAGTGCAGTTTGAATGAAGAGACGGTGAACTGAAGCCAAAGTCAAGCACCTCAGGCAACCATCCTATGTCAAAAAAACGTATTACTTGAAGTAATACATACACTTAATTTGAGGTAAGTGGTATTTAGGTCTTTCACGGAAACTGATACATAATGAAGAGAGGAGAGAGAGAGAGAGAGAGAGAGAGAGAGAGACAGAGAGAGAGAAATAGAGATCGCTTTTTTTTGTTGTTTTTTTAAACTGTAGTATAACTATAGCAAAAGAAATTTAGATTTCGCTCCTCTCACCTAATTCAGGTGAGCTCATCATGCATTATTCTGCTGTACCCTCTCATTAAATCACCGAGAGGATCATTTTGCTTGTCTAGGTGCCTTACATGCTTTGAAGGTAACAAGTGTGATTTACTGCAAAATGGCATTTGGCTCTAGAGGAAGTAGGTTCTAAACCCGGATGAGTGTTTTCCAGAAAACGAGGGCCTGTGAGTCCATCGCTTACTCCTGCGGACAGGTGCGACGGCCACAAACACAGGAGTGGGCAATCTCTGTTCGCTTCCTTCCCTTTTTCTGACAAGTGAACATAACCTGATCTGGTGTGTGAGCTGGATGAAAGGATACATCAGCATTTCGTCTCATTTAGAAATACAGGTTACCAAAAACAAAACCAAAAACCAAAAAAACCCCCCCAAAAAACCAAAAGCCAAAAAAAAAAAAAAATCAAGTAAGTGTCTACGAGATTATACGAAAAAGAGAGAAGTAGTATATCTAGTCCTATCTTTGGTGTTCTAAACAGAAGCTTCACTAGGGCGAGCGGGTCGGGTGGTGGTTGAGGTGTACACAGTGTTGAACACCGCGCCTTTCCCACGGGAATTCCCCACGTCACGGGCGAGCGTGACACTTTCTGGCCTGTGTGCAGTGCAGTGACTGAGTGAACCCGGCTCGGAGGTCTGTGGGTTTTTTGCTTGTCTTTTTCCTCACCCACCCGCTCCTGCTTATCAGGTCAACAAACTATTAGTAGGTTAAGAAAAAAGAAAACAGTAATTAAAAGTTGCATTGTTAAACTGTGTCCCCTGTGTTTACAGCAGTTTTTCACTAAACCTGGGACTGTGAAGGGATTACAAAGAAGGTGATTAATATAGTCCTTTTTAAGGTTATGTGATTTCTCCCCCCCCCAGGCCCCCCGCCCTGCCCCCCCGCCCCCCTGCTCCCCCCCCCCCACCCCCAGATGAAAGTGGAAAGACCATGGCAATAGAGAGTAAGTGGTCACTGCAGTGTCTTCTCCCTTCAAAAGATCCAACTGCTGCTGAGGTAGAAATCGAACGTGGGCGCCCCCTAATCCTCCTCCGCGGACTCTTGTGAGGATGTCTCTTCAGTCTCCTCCTGGAACACACAGAGGGCACAACCATTACACCGTGCGGGCCGCTCAGGGGGGCCCTCCTTCCACAGCCCGCTCTGCGGCCTCCGGGGGAGGATGCGGGTGACTGGCCAGGCCTCATTCCCAGGCCTTCTCAGACCGTAATTGAGGAATCAAGGTGTTGTTTTTTCCCAGAGCAGTCGTTAGCCGCTGTTGACTTAAGGCCTGACGTCATGGCGGCTGGTCAGCAAATTCAATTGTTCGCAGCCCAGAGACTGTCAGGCCAATGTGAGCTTACTCACCAACTAGAGTAAAAAAAGAAATGCATTTCTTTTTTTTTTTTTCTTTTTTTCTTTTGGGCCTGAGAGCACGCCGGTCACCACCACGGTTAGAACCCCAGCACACGAGTGGAGCAAGAAAGGGAAATCCTTCCTTAAGCGTCACGCGTGAACCTGTCCTGCGGATGCTGGCAGGAGTCGCTGGCACCTTTGTGACGCTTACGAGATGCTTTTGGGCACCGTTTTGTTATTGTTCCCGTTGGATGGACAAAAAATAAAAAAAATCAAAAAGGCCAGGCCCAGCAAGCAGTGCCCCCCAAGTCGTGAGGGAGCAGGGCCAGGAGCTGGGCCCAGCCTGGCGGGACCACGACACCACCGCCAGGGCGCACAGGCAGCCCGAGCACAGACGCGCCTGGCAAAGGGCTGCAGGAGCGGACCGCTAGCTTCCTTTCCAAATCCAGTTCCTCATTCTTGCATTTATTAAAACACATTTTAAGACAATGAGCAAAGTCTGGCATCACGGCCCAATGTCAATCCTAAATCCACCTCGACTGAACACCGAGCGGTGGGCTGGCCAAGGAGAAAATCTAATATCTAGGTTTTTGCAGGGCCTCCTCTTCCTATAAATCTAATTCTTCCTTCTCTTTCCTTTCTTCTGATTCCTTGCGGCTCTGGAATTTTTTGGGAGTTTCTGCAAGCTGCCCGGGGCCACACGGTTCTCGTTGCCTTTGCTTATTTAACAAATGTGCAGTACCTTTCAGGACATGGGTGGTAAAGCGGAGACAATAAACATTTCTGATAAAAGTGTCGTTGGTGAGAGGATGATTTTTATCAAATGCTGCACACTGTCTCGTAAGACGGCATGTGAAAAAGATCTAGGGGAAGAGGTAAACATTTACTCCTGCCGCCAACTGAGCCCCCTTTAAGAATGGCCAGCTTAAAACAGCTTAGAACAGTCTTCATACTTTAATAGATTTGATTTTCCACATGGCTTCATTTTGTCTGGGTGGCTAACTGACACAATTTATACCTCTCTTCCTTTCCCAGGTCACCACAGTACACCATTCAGTAAAGCATGCCTTCAAGCTTGTCTGCGTTATATGACCAAACTTCCATTCATTAGTGTTTGAAACACTTCAGCTGTGAAGGAGCTCCTAAATGCTACCATGTGTGACGCTTTTGCGTAAGAGCAGCAAACGGGAGGGGAAAAGGCCCACGTGAACGGGCCCTCGCACACGCACAGGAATGCACGCGCATCCGTGCACACACACGCACACGCCCTCGCTCACCCGCTGTACCCTGGGCCTTAACCACAGACCACTGCTTACTGCAAACCCCTTTGCAAAAGGTTCCAAACATTCCCTTGCCCCAAAGACTCAAGAAAGCTGTAAATCCTGGGAATCAACACACATACAAAAGAATGGATTACAGCTTAAAAAACAGAACCACAGCAGCACCAAGTCAGGAGATTTCACACCGGTTTTGTTTAGTCTGCTTCGGGTTATGTGGGAAATGTGGAACGTATGCATCGACCGCCCCTCCGCCCCCAACCCTCAAACTGAGGGCTCCACATACTTAAGCAGCAGGTTTATACCTCTTGATAGGCAACAGGCCATGACCCTGAGATTCTCCATGGAGTCCCGGCCACAAAGGAGGATGTAGCATGATCAAAGCCACAGGCAGACGAAAGGGAGACCAGCCAAGGTTCAGCTGCCCCCTGACCCTGTCTTTTCACTTAATATTTAAATTCCAGAAAGTCACTAAGCTGTTCGGCAGATACGCTCTTCACGGGTCCCCAGATGACTCCCTTCTCGTTAGGACACGAGGTGTGAACCTAGGGCACTGCTCTGAGACGGACCACAGCACAAAAGCCGCCAGGCCTATTTCACGCCTTCCTCTTACGGGTAACAAACTAACAGGCAAGCTGGAAAACCTTCTGGATTTGGCTGTAATTAGTCCAATTCCTACCAGCTCGATTTTTTTCTATACTATCTGGAAACCAAAGTACTTCCAAATCCAGAAGGAAACAGAATTTTCGGGCCATGAACTCACAGAGGCCTTGTAGTAGATGGAATGTGTTCGACTTTTCAAAACATTCCCAGAAACTTTGCTTGATTTGAGCTCTTGAAGCTCCCGAGATGTAAGTGGTTTATTTAAATCCCTTCGACACAACTCAGCTGAAGATGATGGTCCCTCATATTGTTTCCTTTACTTAACAGTTCTTAACACGACACGGATAGTTGTTTTACTAATCTATCTTTCCGCTGACCTTGAAATTCTTCTACTAGTAGCCGTCAGTACTGGGTTAAGTAACTAGGCTGTCAGAGGGTAGGGGCCGCAGTCTGTTACCTCTGGGAAGTGATGTGGCTCTCACATGCTCCCAGTGATGGTTTGTTCCAATGTCTAGTCAGTGGAGCATTCCCTCTTCTTGGCATGGCCCCCCCTGGCCACCCTCCAAGGGACAGCATGGCTGCCAAGCGGATGACGGTGGGGCGTGTGGCACTTCTCACCCCTGCAAACCTCTGTTCTCACCTTTTCAGTGACTTGACTTTTGATACATGTGTGGTTGCTGTGACAAAAGCATGGGTATAATTAAGAGGAGCCTTCCCTGTCAGGAAAAAAGATGACCTTGGAAACCCCACCCTCAGCTGCCCTGTGTGTCGCAGCTCACCAGACCTCACACAGGCCCTTCTATGCTGCAAAGCAATGGAGGGGCTGAGCAGCTGGGTCTGGCCTCCCCCAGAATCTTGCTTCCACCGTAGAGCAGTTGGTTGGGACACCTGAGATGCAGTCCCCTTAGGTGACTTAGGAGACACTGCCACCCGTTCTAGATAATAGCTTGCACTTTGAGATATTTATTTCAATGACTTCACGTTTGCAGCATATGGGCCAAAGGACCTTTGAGCTTGTGTAGGCCCCCCTGGCCCCCCCAAAGAGCAGCTTTGAGGCAATGAGGAGATGGGAATCCCATAGCCAGGAGTTACACACATCTCGTTAGAGTCTGGGCCACAAGGTGGGAAGGCAAACAGCAGCAGTCTGGTCACGGAGGCCACTGCTGGAATGGGGCTGCAGGAACGCGGGATAAAAGGACTTTTCAAAGTGGAAGTGCATAGTGACATTTTTATGAGCACCAGCCACCACGACCTCTGAACACCGAGCAGCTCCCAGCCATTCACGCGGCTACTTTACAAAGACCACGGAGGCTGCACCACATCGGGGTGAAGCGTGCAAGTTTTGGGGGAAGAAAACCGATGAGAAAGAGAGGAAAGTGGGCAGAGCCGGAGAGCTCTATTTTTATTATGACTCCTGGAAAATTGCGCTCATTTCGCCTTAGTTTTTCTTTCGTTCATGAGAAAAAAAAAAAGGAATTTAATAAATGTAACTCTTTCACTGCTTTGGTTAAGCTTGAAAAAACACGCCACTAAAACCTAGCAATAGAGTTTGCACTTATCTCCATCCTGCATGTGGCATGTACCTTTGGGTATGCTTCCGCTCGTTGACTCAAAAGGAGGAAGAAGACGGCCCAATATCCAATCTTATCCTTTAATGCCTGGTGGAATTTTAAAACATCTTAAGCGTCTAATCACAGATCTTAGCACACAGACACAAGCGTGGGTGTGTGCTGGGAGGAAAGTTTAGTATTTAATGTGAGAGCTGAAGCTCTGGGTTTAATTTTCAGATGCAGACTAAACAGCAGGTCTGCAGTGGAAGGGAGGCCAGTGAATTCTAAATGGAACCGGGAAACGGAAATACCCTCCTTGCAAAATTTAGGACTTGGGTCCCCAGGATCCCCCTCTCTGTGTGTAGTAAAGAGTGCAAAAGCACAGAAGACCATGTCGGCTTTAATAAATCCTCATTTTTTTTTCCTCCTTGATTGCAAAGAATTCTGTAACTCTTTTATTATGGAACGCTGCAGGCTAAAAATACTTTTGTAATTTAAGCTATCTTGCCAATAAACCTACAAATACCTGGTTGTCTAGAAAGAGTCATTATAGTTTAATGACAAATTCTTTTTGTCATCTGAATATGTCTAAGTCCTTAAGGCCTCGGAATGACACATTCAAGAGTTTTTCACGTTCCTGAGTATCTCCAGCCAGTCCCATCAGAGCAGAAATAATGGACTCTGCTTCAGTAGCAACGACCAGAAACCGATTTTTCAAGTTCCATCTGTGGCTAAATGACCCGCAAGACCACAGAGCTGAGTTTTTCTGTTTCCCTGTCAGATAGTTTAATTTAAAATGGATTGAGGCTGTTTAACTTAATGGAAAGTGATTATTTCCTCCAACTAGGAAAACTTTACATCAGATTTAAAAAAAATATATGTTAAATGGAACATATATAAACCAGATAATCTGGCAAGTGGAAGGTATTCTGGGTGGAAATGCCAGCAGGGAATGTATTTTTTACCAGGAGACCTAAGAAGTTGGGATATTTGAGGCATTTGCACCCCATCCTTTCTTTATTTTGGCTGAATGGGTCTAGAAATATACGAGTGTTGGGACTACCTTGCATGTGTCACCACCAACTTAAAAAAGTCAGTGTTGAGGTCCTTCCTGAGGAATGTTTAAGGGAAAGATGGTTAATCCTGGATGTCGCTGACCACCGACATCAACCGTGGCATTAATGGACTCATGATATATTTTCATTGTGACCCATCTAACCCCCCAGCAGGGGGTGAGAAAAAAAAATGTGAGAACCAAATGGGAAATTAAAAAAAAATTAAATTTGCCAACGGATAGTATCACCCT